ATCCCTGCACCTGCCAAATGACCCCAAACAGCGCCGGGTCGTGTTTGCCTTTATGGTGCTGAAACTTTGAACAGGACTCAAAATTCATGCAGATTTGAATTTGAATCAGATTTATGAAAGTGCTATTAGGGTGCATTTTAAATGTTTGACTGAGAAATGTGAACATTGACAATTTGTATTCTTTGGGGAAGTATTCCTTTAAAATTCAGCAATTATTGGACTATGATTAACCATATTTATAGCATTTCAGAGCATGTGTAAGATGTGTTGTGTGTATTTGCACGTTTATCATGTGTTATTTGCATCAAGTCATACCACACTGAACAATTTCACGTCTGGTTATAGACTTAGACATGAGTGTGTTTGTGTGCTCTAGGTTGTTGGAGGAATTAATAGAGAAAGAGAAAGAATATCAGGCCATCCTACAGCAAGTCCTGGAGGAGAGAGAACAAGAGATCAAACTATTAAAGTGTCGATCCGGGCCCGTCGGTGAGTCTGGTTTGCGCATTTATACACACACACATATAGACACACACACACACACACATATATAGACACACACAGTATTCAGAGCTACAGGCTGCAATGAAAATGCCTGCAAATACTGAGGTGGTTAAATATCATCTGTCTTTTAACCTGTTTGTCCCACTGCTGCTTAAATTCCCCCAGTGTCCTCTAAAACTGAGGGTATTTTTGCGCTGAGACATACTGTAATAGAATAGAATAGAATAGAAAGAAAAGAATAGAAACTCAGTTTCAGCCTCAGGCTGTCTGGATGGTTCGGCACCATCAGACTGAGCCCCGGAGTCCCGAAAGACTTCATGTTCTGCCCACTGCTGTTCACCCTGATGACTCATGACTGTACTGCCACAAACAGTGCACACCACATCATCAGTGATGGGATGAGTCATTGTACTGGGAGGAGGTGGGTCATCTTTTGGATAGTAGAGGAGCGGGTCACAAGAAGTAGTAGAGGAGCGGGTCACAAGAAGTAGTAGAGGAGCGGGTCACGAGAAGTAGTAGAGGAGCGGGTCACAAGAAGTAGTAGAGGAGCGGGTCACAAGAAGTAGTAGAGAAGCGGGTCACAAGAAGTAGTAGAGGAGCGGGTCACAAGAAGTAGTAGAGGAGCGGGTCACAAGAAGTAGTAGAGGAGCGGGTCACAAGTAGTAGTAGAGGAGCGGGTCACAAGTAGTAGTAGAGGAGCGGGTCACAAGTAGTAGTAGAGGAGCGGGTCACAAGAAGTAGTAGAGGAGCGGGTCACAAGTAGTAGTAGAGGAGCGGGTCACAAGAAGTAGTAGAGGAGCGGGTCACAAGAAGTAGTAGAGGAGCGGGTCACAAGAAGTAGTAGAGGAGCGGGTCACAAGAAGAAGTAGAGGAGCGGGTCACAAGTAGTAGTAGAGGAGCGGGTCACAAGAAGTAGTAGAGGAGCGGGTCACAAGAAGTAGTAGAGGAGCGGGTCACAAGAAGTAGTAGAGGAGCGGGTCACAAGTAGTAGAGAAGCGGGTCACAAGAAGTAGTAGAGGAGCGGGTCACAAGTAGTAGTAGAGGAGCGGGTCACAAGAAGTAGTAGAGGAGCGGGTCACAAGAAGTAGTAGAGGAGCGGGTCACAAGAAGTAGTAGAGGAGCGGGTCACAAGAAGTAGTAGAGGAGCGGGTCACAAGAAGTAGTAGAGGAGCGGGTCACAAGTAGTAGTAGAGGAGCGGGTCACAAGAAGTAGTAGAGAAGCGGGTCACAAGAAGTAGTAGAGGAGCGGGTCACAAGAAGTAGTAGAGAAGTGGGTCACAAGAAGTAGTAGAGGAGCGGGTCACAAGAAGTAGTAGAGGAGCGGGTCACAAGTAGTAGTAGAGGAGCGGGTCACAAGTAGTAGTAGAGGAGCGGGTCACAAGTAGTAGTAGAGGAGCGGGTCACAAGAAGTAGTAGAGGAGCGGGTCACAAGTAGTAGTAGAGGAGCGGGTCACAAGAAGTAGTAGAGGAGCGGGTCACAAGAAGTAGTAGAGGAGCGGGTCACAAGAAGTAGTAGAGGAGCGGGTCACAAGAAGAAGTAGAGGAGCGGGTCACAAGTAGTAGTAGAGGAGCGGGTCACAAGAAGTAGTAGAGGAGCGGGTCACAAGAAGTAGTAGAGGAGCGGGTCACAAGAAGTAGTAGAGGAGCGGGTCACAAGTAGTAGAGAAGCGGGTCACAAGAAGTAGTAGAGGAGCGGGTCACAAGTAGTAGTAGAGGAGCGGGTCACAAGAAGTAGTAGAGGAGCGGGTCACAAGAAGTAGTAGAGGAGCGGGTCACAAGAAGTAGTAGAGGAGCGGGTCACAAGAAGTAGTAGAGGAGCGGGTCACAAGAAGTAGTAGAGGAGCGGGTCACAAGTAGTAGAGAAGCGGGTCACAAGAAGTAGTAGAGGAGCGGGTCACAAGTAGTAGTAGAGAAGCGGGTCACAAGTAGTAGTAGAGGAGCGGGTCACAAGAAGTAGTAGAGGAGCGGGTAACAAGAAGTAGTAGAGGAGCGGGTCACAAGAAGAAGTAGAGGAGCGGGTCACAAGAAGTAGTAGAGGAGCGGGTCACAAGAAGTAGTAGAGGAGCGGGTCACAAGAAGAAGTAGAGGAGCGGGTCACAAGAAGTAGTAGAGGAGCGGGTCACAAGAAGTAGTAGAGGAGCGGGTAACAAGAAGTAGTAGAGAAGCGGGTAACAAGAAGTAGTAGAGGAGCGGGTAACAAGAAGTAGTAGAGAAGCGGGTAACAAGAAGTAGTAGAGGAGCGGGTCACAAGAAGTAGTAGAGGAGCGGGTCACAAGAAGTAGTAGAGGAGCGGGTAACAAGAAGTAGTAGAGAAGCGGGTAACAAGAAGTAGTAGAGGAGCGGGTCACAAGAAGTAGTAGAGGAGCGGGTCACAAGAAGTAGTAGAGGAGCGGGTCACAAGTAGTAGTAGAGAAGCGGGTCACAAGTAGTAGTAGAGGAGCGGGTCACAAGAAGTAGTAGAGGAGCGGGTCACAAGAAGTAGTAGAGGAGCGGGTCACAAGTAGTAGTAGAGGAGCGGGTCACAAGAAGTAGTAGAGGAGCGGGTCACAAGAAGTAGTAGAGGAGCGGGTCACAAGAAGTAGTAGAGGAGCGGGTCACAAGAAGAAGTAGAGGAGCGGGTCACAAGTAGTAGTAGAGGAGCGGGTCACAAGTAGTAGTAGAGGAGTGGGTCACAAGTAGTAGTAGAGGAGCGGGTCACAAGAAGTAGTAGAGAAGCGGGTCACAAGAAGTAGTAGAGAAGCGGTTAACAAGAAGTAGTAGAGGAGCGGGTCACAAGAAGTAGTAGAGGAGCGGGTCACAAGAAGTAGTAGAGGAGCGGGTCACAAGAAGTAGTAGAGGAGCGGGTCACAAGAAGAAGTAGAGGAGCGGGTCACAAGTAGTAGTAGAGGAGCGGGTCACAAGTAGTAGTAGAGGAGTGGGTCACAAGTAGTAGTAGAGGAGCGGGTCACAAGAAGTAGTAGAGAAGCGGGTCACAAGAAGTAGTAGAGGAGCGGGTCACAAGAAGTAGTAGAGAAGCGGGTCACAAGAAGAAGTAGAGGAGCGGGTCACAAGAAGTAGTAGAGGAGCGGGTCACAAGAAGTAGTAGAGGAGCGGGTCACGAGTAGTAGTAGAGGAGCGGGTCACAAGAAGTAGTAGAGAAGCGGGTCACAAGTAGTAGTAGAGAAGCGGGTCACAAGAAGTAGAGGAGCGGGTCACAAGTAGTAGTAGAGGAGCGGGTCACAAGAAGTAGTAGAGGAGCGGGTCACAAGAAGTAGTAGAGGAGCGGGTCACAAGAAGTAGTAGAGAAGCGGGTCACAAGAAGTAGTAGAGGAGCGGGTCACAAGAAGTAGTAGAGGAGCGGGTCACAAGAAGTAGTAGAGGAGCGGGTCACAAGTAGTAGTAGAGGAGCGGGTCACAAGAAGTAGTAGAGGAGCGGGTCACAAGAAGTAGTAGAGGAGCGGGTCACAAGAAGTAGTAGAGAAGCGGGTCACAAGTAGTAGTAGAGAAGCGGGTCACAAGAAGTAGTAGAGGAGCGGGTCACAAGAAGTAGTAGAGGAGCGGGTCACAAGAAGTAGTAGAGGAGCGGGTCACAAGAAGTAGTAGAGGAGCAGGTCACAAGTAGTAGTAGAGAAGCGGGTCACAAGTAGTAGTAGAGGAGCGGGTCACGAGTAGTAGTAGAGAAGCGGGTCACAAGAAGTAGAAGAGAAGTGGGTCACAAGTAGTAGTAGAGAAGCGGGTCACAAGAAGTAGAAGAGAAGTGGGTCACAAGAAGTAGTAGAGAAGTGGGTCACAAGTAGTAGTAGAGAAGCGGGTGATTGCATGTTAGCGTCTATGTCGTTATGTTAAGTCTAGAGAACATGCGCCGTAAAAGGGCATAATGCGCGTTTTTTTTTAAAACATGTTGAGCTCACGTCCTCTCTTATGAAAAAAGGCATCAATGGGTCTGTCCAGTGACTAATGATGAACGTAGGTGGACTTCTGACTTGCCGTGACAGACAAATCCATGCTTAAAAAGGTGTAGGCCTATTGTTTTTTTTGTTTTTAAATTTGGATAATCTCTTAATATAATATTCCATACTTTGTCAGAGCTTGGTAGACCGGTAACAATTTTATTTGTAGACGTTATTGGACAGATGAATTAATAGATTATAATTAATGTTATTTATTGTGCCCATTTTCACAGGAATTCCTTAGATTACTGAATCTTTGCCGAGTCCAACGATACCAAACATGCTAGGTTTCGCCTTTCGGTTTGTGTAGTGTTGTGATTTAGCGCTTAAAAAACATTATCTTCGAAACCGTTAGACCGATCGAGACGAAACCACTGTTCGGAAACATAGGTTGTTGGCTATACACTAATGCCCAAATTTACCTATTGTAATGACACTGGTCTTAATAGATTCCTTGAGTTATGGCGAAAAATAGATGCATAGATACCAAGTCATTCCTGTCCACCATCTTTATTTTCCTTTAAAACCTACTTCTAGACCGTTTGTCCGATTTTCACCAAAATCGAATCGAATCATCTCCAAGTTGAGGCATAATGCCAAAATGACTATTCAGGCTTTATCTCTGCAGTGCCTTGACATATTGACACCAAAATGTTGCATGTGTCATCATCACCTCACTCTGACCACACCACATCAATTTAGTAACTCTGCCACCTATTGGTTAAAAGTGATTGTATATATGATTTTTTCATCCATATTGCCTAAAATAATGTTTAATTGCTCATTGTTGCAGTTGGTCTGACACTTGATGTCATCTTTGCGCTTGGCTCCGATAATGGCTGCTTGCAGCTATATTTATTATTATTATTATTTCTACTGTTTCCCTGTCCCCACTGTCTTTTGGTATATTTTCTTTCTTGCTACGTAACTTCAAGTATGTTGTTTTCCTCACCTTGTGTCCTTATTATGCGCTGAAATGACATTTCGCTTCACTGTATACGGCTGGAATTACCATAAACTACAATCTATTCAGTGCATAACTCCTTTAAAAGACTGCATGCTTCGGATGATCATGTTTCATTGATGCCTTAACATTTGTGTGCATATTTGCACTGTAAGCATTTATAGTAGCACACCATCATTTGTGTTTGTGACATAAAAAACGTGCTCAAAAAAAAATAATTTGAGTGGTTTGAATGAATGTAAATGACAGCTGCGTATGCTGTGAGCGTCAACATGAAAAACAGCTGGCATTTACAGTTACATTTTCTTACTGGACTATTCAGTGTTGTCTTTATTTGAATATTAATCTTAACATGTATTAAATCCCTATGTTGTGTTATATCATTATTTTAACGGTTAGTTCCAATCCTTGATTCTGATTGGTCAATAGCTGTGCTTTATTCATGATAAAACACGGCTATGACCGCTTCACCCAACGGTTCTATTTATCACTGCCAAACACTGCGGTTCCTGTGTTGTGTTTATTTGAGCTTTCCTGCATTACACATTGGAACGTTGTTGCTGTTCACGGTCAGGGACTATTTTTTTCTAGCGGAAGGAAGGCTTTTAGTGATTTTACTTCATGAAAGTTGCACTAATAAATTTTTTTTTTTACTTTAATATTTTTATTGTGTGGTAACCGTTTTATAAAAGCAATAAGGTACTCGAGGCAAGTGCTGTATGGTGAATAAGTATCGGCTTATTACTTATTCACGATACAGCACAGCCTCTCGTACCTTATTGCTTACATATTATATACATCAGTATTGACCTTTTACAATAGAACACCACAGCCCAACCCTGTGTGTTATCGTGTGTTTCTGGCAGATGTTCCTGTGCGCCTCATGAACACAAATACTTCATTTGAAGGAGACGGACACCAGGAACTTCTGGACTGGCTGAAACTCCACGGGGCGGATGCAGACTCCATCGAGAGAGTAATATACAGAAAATCTGTTCACTTTGGTCTCCGAATATTTTAAAAACATCTGGTCCTTCATAATATTGTCTGAAATCAACAGATAATGGATTATGTTCTGTCCATATCATAGGTTATAGCCGAAGAGTACAGTCTTGATGACATCCTTCATTGTGTCACGAGAGACGACTTGAAGACTTTGAGATTACGGTACGTGAACAATTCTGATATTCTGAAATATATTCTTATTTTAAAAAGACATTAACATGCATAGGTTATATTTCACATTAAATTGTTACACTACCATTCAAATATTTCAGGTCAGTCATTTTTTTAAATGTTTTTGAAAGATGATTCACCAAGGCTGCGTTTATTCAGTCAAAAATACAGCAAAAACTATAATATTGTGAAATATTACAGCATTACAATAACTATTCTATTTTAATGTTGTAAAGTGTAATTTATTCCTGTGATCAAAGCTGAGTTTTCAGCATCATTACTCCAGTCTTCAGTGTCACATGATCCTTCACAAATCACTCTAATATGAGGATCTGATGCTCGAGAAATGTTTCTTATAATTATCACAGTTGTGCTGCTTAATGACATGTGAGGCGCGGAGTATGCTGAACTTTGTGGAAAAGCATTGAAAATATAACCTTTTGTTAAATGTAATCTTTTGCAATATAGGCTTCTATAAAACAGTGGAGTAAATCACTCATCATTGTTAGGCTTGTTGCAAGTTCCAGATGCTTTGACAGACATGAGCTCATAATACTGAAACTAATTGGTTTATATTACGTTATCTGGGAAATGGGTTCCATTCTGTGTAAATTAATTTCTGTTTATGTAAACGTGGTCCTACGATAAAGCATACATAATTCCCACTCACTTTAGGATGGTACGTTTCTCTGCTACAGAGCATGATTGTGTGTTTTCTTGTGTTTCTAGAGGTGGAGTCCTGTGTAAACTCTGGAGCGCCATCTCCGAGCACAGAAAAAAGCCCGGCTGAGGCCCATAGCCACGTACATGTGCCATCCAGACTCTGTTCAGCTGTTAAAACATAACCAAATATATATAGTGGGATCAATTGAAGTCTTATGTGATTATCCATATCACATGTAAATATGTTTTAACTTTTATATTTGTCTGTGAAATGTGACTGTAAATGAACTGTTAAAGGCCCAGACAGTTGATACGTGAACACTGTTACGGCATCTTTATATAGGACACTTGTTTTTATTTTTTTAGATTTGGTTACAGAAACATGTCTTGACCTGCCTGAGAACTTTTTCCAGTCCAAATCTCTTTTCCTTTCAGAAAAGACACTGAAACTACACTGAAAAGTCTGTGTGTTTTATATATTTTTACATGTATCATCATTAATAAGGTGTATTGTCAAGTAATTTGCTAATATTCCTTTTTTTTATCAAAGCTAGTTATATTTGCATATATTCTAAATTACAGGTATGAAGATACACAATAACCAATCAAACTGAATTGTGTTTCCACGTATTTGGGGTGACGCATGATGAATAAGCCACCTCTGAAATTGTATATAAACTCCTTTTAGAGCTACATTCCTGAGATTATATGTAAACTATATCCAGAAGCACAGAGAATATATCACAAATGTGTACTTATGTCTATTTATTCAGCACAAATCTGTGAAATTACCATTTTAAGTGTAACCGATGGCCCTAATAGTTTCTAGTCAAATCATAAAACATAACAAATGATGTGTATCTAATGATACACATCTAAACACACACACACACACACCTAGGGCTATGTGATGTGACAATCATGTAATGGATACGTTTGATATCTGTGGTAAATGTTTGCATGATCAGTGTTTGCATTCTAACGGTTTCATTTTGTGCAAATTGGAATTTCACTTTTGGATTAAATAAAAAGTTTGGGAAAAAAGTCGTCATAATTCCAGTTAAAACATAAGTGTTATTACATTTCTGATAACCATGTACTGCGTGTGTAGATATGTTATCGTAAGAATCTACCTATTATTGGCTAGGAATTCATTACTAATTGCCTCGCACTCCCCAGTTTTCTTTCTTCGGTGGAACACTAAAGACATTTTTAAGAAGGATGGGGTTCAAAAAACATTAACCATTGACTCTCATTGTAGACAAAAACAAGAAGAAATGAATACATATAGTTTTGTAATGACATGAGGGTGAGTAAACATTACCAGACCTTTCATTTTTGGGTGAACTATTCCATTATTACCCAGTGAAAGTCATTAGTGTTGGAGGGGCTTTTGACGACAGATGGATGACATTAGTGGTGCATATTAACACCAAATCATTTATAACACAATTTTTCACATGACACTAACCTGTACTGTTTGGCCCTGATGTCAAGTATAATTCAGAAGAAATGTCACAATTTTTTGTCTGACATTTTCTATTTGAAACTTTTCAAACATCTGATTAAATCAGACCATCTAAGAACCACCTAGTCGCGTCGCGTCAGTGTTTGTCTTTTTGTACATTTGCATCAAACAAAGAGTAAAATCGGGTGGCATGTTGAGGGAATCGATTGGATGGTAAAAACTTTATAATAACAAGCACCAATTAATCATAAACAATGAACCAGGGACATGTATTAAAAGTAAACAGGGTCAATTTTGGTTGTATGCCGACTTAAGGCATAACACACTACTGGCAGTTGTAGTGATGCATTCCCTGACAAAATGTCAACACTTAAAGGCTAACAAACCGATTGGATGGCGACGCTTTGGGTGGTCATCTCCGACGAAGCGCCCAGTTAGACGACCATGTCATTCACCCCATTGTCTTTGACAATCACCCAAATGAACCATTAAAGACTATGATGATCGACTGCATCACTGCCCTGCGTCCTGAGCTTCAAGCGCACCTCGCCACCCATCAGATCGCATTCATGTTCCTCACACCCAGCGCACCACACTTTGGTGGATGTTGGGAGGGGAAAATAAGCTTACCCTTGGGACAGTCACACAGACGAAGTGCTGATCGACATAGAGGGCATCCTCAACTCTAAGCCTGCTCAGATGTTGCTGATCCTGTTACGCCTCATTGTTTTACTCCCAGAAGTGGTCGACCTTTCTCGTCAGAAATGGAGATTCGAGGGAACTGATGTTCAAGTCGGCAACACACACCCAAGTCTTACCTGGAGCAGACAACTGAATCAGATCCGCAGAAATAAGAGTGAAGAACTAGACCTAACGTTACATACGACCTGTGGTTAAGCTGATCTATCTTCCCCACACCCCTTTTATTTCTCTTAGTATTGCCTTTTTACCTGTGGATTTGGGGATGGCTGTAAAAAAGGCCCAGTTTTACAAGTGATTTGTATTTGTTATTTAGGCCTTGTCCACAGTAATACGTTTTAGTTTGAAAACGCATCTTTTTTCTCTACGGTTTGGCCATTCGTCCACATTGAGTTTTTTTTTTTTTTTTTTATGAAGACGGAGATTTTTGAAAATACATGTGGATAGATTTGAAAACGCTGTTTCGTGTTGTAGTGTGTGGACAGTGAAAATCGAGGTGACGCATGTTTAGTCATGTGACGCATATTGTTCCCATAATCTCTATTATGATTATATCGCCATTGTTGTGCCTGCTATTTATTTTCAGTCTTCCTAGGGGTAAATGTCCCTTTGTAGAATCTTTATATTACATTCCTGCAAAAATGACAGAAAACGTACTTACAATTGCTGTCTTGTGGCAAAACATGATGACAATTGCATACATCATATCCGGTCAACGTGTCACATATGGTGTAGTCACTCAAGTTTACATTTTTTAACGCATCCAAAGCTCAAATCGGATCCGAAAATTCATATGGTCGGCACCCCCCACCCCCATAGCCCCTGTGCGACTCTCCATAGCCCATTAATGACTTCCGATCCATTGACTTTTGTTGGTCAAGTGCAGTGGAAAGGCGGCTTTAGAGGTGAATTGTGTATTATAGTCAGTTTTCCTATTTGTTATATTGTTAAACTTTCTATGCTATTATATTGGTAGACTTTTAAGTCTATTGAGCTGGTAGATTTTTCCAGATTTTCTACTGTATTGGTCAACTTTCTAGCTTATACCATTATTGAGTCATTATATAAAAGGAGGATCAGACATCATTCTCTTAAAGGTGCAGTGTGTAGATTTTAGCAGCATCTAGCGGTTCGGTTGCGAGTTGCACTAATGGCTCCGCCCACTGCTCACCCCTCCCTTTCTAAGAAGCTACGGTGGCTCAAACGGGACAAACATATCGTCGTCTGAGACAGCAGAGAATGGCCAGAGTAAGCCAAGAGTGTGTAACATTGTCACTGTTTCTGTACCACAGTCCATTATAAACCACATCATGGATAAAGTTTACAAAGCCATAGTCAGGTGAGGATCAAGGGTCTTAATATATAATATAATAATAGTAATCAGCTGATTGTCTCATGAACGTAACCAGCACATTCTCCACCACATAGCAAACCCATAATACAGCGAGGGAGAAGAACCACATGAAACTATGCAGCTATATATGTTTTCTAACAGGGTAGTAAAAGTTTAGCTGGCTAATATGAGCGGTTACTGTGGCTGAGCTGGTTAAAGCGTAAAGCCTTGTTTAAACTCGACGTGTCCGCATGAGCGCAAAGGTGCGCGCGGCAGAAATGACATGATTGTAACAGCGCGCGCGCCTCCGCATCCCCTAGACACACTTACTACACACAATAGGCTTTTTTTCTCTGATTTTGAAAACTCTTCGCGATCGACTTTAAATGCTTCCAAGATGGACTTGTCGACCGCGATCGACGGGTTGGTGACTCCTGTAACATTACTGTTTACGGTCAATGACAAGAGTACTAATCAGCTCACGAACGTAACCAGCACATTTATCCCCGCATAGCAAAGCCATAACACAGCGAGGGAGAAGAACTAAGTTACATGAAACAATCCAACTACATATTTTACACCACTGACTAAGGGAAAAGTCACTACTCGCGGTGTCTACGGCTAGCTTCTAGCTTTCTGCGGCTTCTCTTTCAAGGTAGTGACGAAACGCGCTCTGTAGCGCTGTGTGTTCGCTGTGTGTTCGCTGTCGGCTACGGTAGAAACATGACGTCACAATATGGCGACCTTCATAGAAGGGGGTGCCCGCGGTTGTGTAGATATAAATGTCTCATTCTAAGGTAATAAAAACATTACGGTTTATTAAGTAAGGTCTTTATACACCACTGAAAACATAGTTATGGATGTCATATTGTATTTCTGTTAATATATACTCAAAATTATTACACATTGCACCTTTAAACTCTTCTACCAGATTGCTACGTGAGGTGCTATGAGACTTGAGCGAGGACCCGCTGATTTGATGCTTAATTGCTGTTTAATTAGTTTGTTTTAATATTCCTGGGAACTTCTACTCTAGCTGAACATTGCCATGGATATGTCACTCGATCATTTGCATTTGATCATCATTTGCTTGTTTCTCTCAGTGGCCATTACATACTCTTCGTTTTGTATTATTTGAGCTGCATGTGCCACCACTCTTAAGTAATAACTAGCAAAATTGTCTTACCTAAAATAGCTTCTTTTTTTTCCTTCCTTTTTTTTAACAAAAACAGTCAACTTGTTAAAATAAATTTGTTAAATTTATTGTTAAGAGGAAAACCCCTTGAGATGTGACATCTCGTTTTCGAGGTGACCTCAGAAACCTTGTCACCTGACCAACAGTTTGACAGTTTAATTAGGGCAGGCAGTGTCACTTGTAAAGTCTGCAGCAGGCCAGAGCTAATGCGGTACAATAACTGTAACTGAGTGTTTATAAATAACATTTGTTATGGCACAAAAGTAAAAAAAAAATATGACTGTGTGTTGATGGTTAAGGATTGATGATGACAATCATCATTTAATACTTGAATTACTGATCTCATTCAGTGTATAAGCTCTGATTACACAGGTATTATTAGTATTATTCATTATAGTAAAACTGTGATTCTACAGTCAGCATATGAGCCAACAGTTTTGTGTAGCAATCAGATAATTGCTAATTGCTTTTATGTTTGCTGTTTTTGTTATAACTTTAGTTTCTTGTTTTGTGATGTTCAGAGGTTTATCTGAATATTTTGTTAATTGTCACCATTGTTGAGGTTCATA